AACAGACAGAGCCACTGTTAAAGAATGTGATGTGCACAATGCCCGGCTCTGCTTGACACGCATACACGAGATGTGTCAATGCACTAACACGTGGCAAGCACACGCCGTACCAGCACAACTCTTGTCCGAGTCCCGTTTGGCGCTTGAAACGGCTCTTCCCTCCGGTCCAGTCCAGTTCGGCACGAAGTGGTTTTGCGGTTTTGTGAAAAGTCAACTACCAACACCTCTTCCGACCTCGACTTGGTACAGCTTTCGTGGCTCTTGGCGCTCCTCGCCTCGCACCAGCCGCGTCAACGCCCAGCCACTTGAGCCTGGACCACTTTGTGCCGCACGCCTGTTGCCATGACGTATAGGCCACATTTTGGGCTTCCGTGCAATTTGTAGGCCTGTCTGCACAACAGTCCCTGCCGACGCACGATTTGTCGGTCTCGGGTGCACAGCGCGACTCGAACTTGCCTCGTGACGCGACTCGGCGTCTCCGAGGCCACTTGGGCGTGCAGGCCGGCTGAAATGTATTTGCACAAATGCGCTTTCGAGGCCGACAGTCAACTGAGAATAGACAAGTTGAGTCGGCTTTGATCGTTTACAACAATCGAGGATTGAAGGTGACTGTTTGCACGATCGGATCAGTCGTCTGCCTGATTGCAGCTTATTTCACTTCGGGCCTGTCGACTAAAAGACTATCTCGTGTAACTGCGTTTCCACGAGCACCCTGATTGATAATTTCTCTATTTTTCGAATTAAGTATTGTTTTTCGTGACTACCACTAAATTAGTTATAAGATCTATTCACCTTATTTCGTTTAAGTTGATGAAGGACTGGTTGAAGCAGAATTTTCCCACAAATCATATGAATTGAGCTGACGTCTCCATTGAATTTTTACATTTTTTCATTTTGTAGAAAAATTCTCCTTCATCGCCTTAAACAAAATTGTGTGAATACATCTCATACTACTGATTTACTGGTAGTCACGAAAAACAATACTTAATTGGAAAAATCTAGTATAGTAGTCGATTATTATAGCAAAACATACGTTTGCTTCATCGACAATTCCACAAAAAGCATATGATATGGCAAAAAGGCATGGCCTGGCCTGGCCTGGCCTGGCCTGGCCTTGAAAATTCACACTTGCCCTATAACCCAAAAAGGCGCTCGTGGCTGTGTTGCCGAGTGGTTGGCGTAGTAAGCTTCCATCCCGCGCTGTCGTGGTTCGACTCCCGCTGAGGGTGTTGATAAGACCGAAGCGAGGTCAAAACTGCCGTCCACTGGTGCCTGGATAAGAACAACTTTTGTGGAAGCAAGGCTGTATATGAAATTCAACGGAAACGTCAGCTCAACTCATATCGTTTGTGGGAAAATTCTACTTCTACCAATCCTTCATCACCTTAAACTAAATTGGGTGAATACATCTTATAATTTCTTTGTAATGTCAAAGTAACACAGACCGAGCGAAATAAACATTAGCCTTCTGAAATCGACATAACCAACTCTCTTTTTTACACACACACACACACACGCACATACACACCCATATATATATATATATACATATATAGACGTGCACACACATATGTACACAAACACACGTACACACAAACGTATAGACACCAGCTAGGAAGCAATTAACGTCAGCTAAACAATGATTAATCAAACGATAAAGTGGAACGCAGATTTACGTCTCATTTTGCTTTATATGACCCAGCCTTCTTTTTGGGCCACTTTTGCTTGTCACGAAATCTGGAACCAACAGACTTGCTCTCATCGGCCATGCTCTCTTCACTCCACGGTCGTTTCGGACTGTAAAAGTTAGGCCAGGATCTATGCCTCTTTGCCAGCTCAATTCTTGCCTAATCTTCATTTCTCCCTACAGTCTAGCTATCCCCTCAAATGCTCACTCTATTGCTCTATCGCATTTTCAATCGTTAAATCGTCCAATATCTCAATATCTCAATATCGCAATCCCACAACCTCACGATCTCTTAATCTCCCATTTTGGCAGTCCATCAACTACTCAATTTCCCAGTTATTCATTAGCCAAGTCTCTGATGCTCAGCTCTTTGACTCTTCTTTTCAAGCACTTTATTTCTGGTTCTTCTACTCTCCTACCATTTGAGCTATCTTTCTCTTTCAATCTCTAAAACAATCAAGCTCTCTTCACTCTTTTTCTCCTTCAAACTCTTAACGTTCCCACTTAGCTCTTACTTTCTCATATACCCCTCATTTCTTAATCTCAAAATCTCTCTACTTGCTACTTTTCAACATCTTGCTTCTCTTTACTTGCTCTCGATCTTTCGATTACATCACATTTTCAAATGAATTTCTCCTAACATCTCCAGTTTTCAACATCGGACCATACTCATCGTCCTATCTCATGCTCCCAACTTCCCGAATTCTCAACCGTCAACTTATCAATCTATCAAGCTCAGTCGCTCCTCTCTCTTCTATTCTCGAGCTTTTGGTCATCAAATATCTCTTAAGTTCTCCTTTTCATATTGCCCTAATCCCTCACTCTCTTGCCATCTTTCTCTTACCCTAACACTCTTGCTCTCTCAACCACCGTTAGTTCAATATCTATCAATCTTCAAATTTCTCCACATACTTTTTATACACATCAAACTCTTAATCTCATAATCTCTGCCTTGTCTTAATCTCTCTTTTTTTCATTCTCCCATTCCCTTCAATCTTGCAGCCTCTATGACTTCAACTCTCAGCCTCTCAGTCTCTCAATACGGAAACTTCTCTCTCTTCCCATCTCTCTCCATCTTGCCTACCATGTACACGCTGATTGTAAGTTTTTTTTCCTAAAAGATTGCATTGATACCACGCTTTATTATGAGTTGGCCTGTATTCTCATAAAGCCGGCATAGAGGCAATATTACAACATGAAAAAATCCATCAGGCTTCCAATTTTATACCAAAAAATCTCCCTCAAAATTTTATTTCTTAATAAACTTATGCTATTTTTAATCAAGCCTAGAGGACGACTGTATTTATCCGCTGTACATTGGCGAGTGATCGATTGTTATGGCAAATACAGTCATGCCTAATCTACAGTTCCACCGAAAAAAAGATGTGAATTAGCTGAGGGCTGTCTAGCCTTTAATGTGAAGGCCCGAATTAGAATCCGTTTGAGGCTGCCGATGAAACGCAAACAAGCTGGAAATGGCAGCTTGTTGTGAATAGGCGAGACTGGTACGAGACAAGGCTATGCCAAATTCATTGGGAATGCTAAGATTTCCCATTTCGTTGTGGTAGATTCATCGGTCCTTACCTCGCATCACGTCTTTGTGCAAAACCCGTATCTCTAAACTTGCCAGGCCCAGCTTCATAAATAGTCCCAATGAC